AAAAAAAAAAAGAAAATGCGACGAATCGCGACCACGACGGTGATGGTCGTTCATGGTTCGAAGGATTCTAAGTGGATGATGAAGACTCTTTCTGAGGAGGGGAAATCATGTGACACACGATTACGGTTGTCAACGGACTGCTGACTTTTACGCATTTCTGCGAGATATCTGTATTTGGTACGTGAAAGATAGTTTCTCAATTGTAGCCTTGAAAATATAAATTTGTATAAAAACCTAGTTATCAGATAACAGACATGGAAGATTTTAGGATACTTGGAGGGAACCAATCACTTTCAGAGCCAGTTAGAAAATTAAAATTCGGCAACGTTCGATTTTACTATTCGAGCCTGGTCGAATTCTACGATGTATAAAACAACTTCAGGCAATTTCGAGCTGCCCGATTAAAATCACCCACAGGAAATCCTAACCCACCCACTCGACACGCTACGAACGAGCGCTATATCTATACTTCCGTGTTACGTTTCCACGTCGTCACGCTCGTCCCACGCATCTTCAAACTTTCCATAAAAAAACTCCTGGTGGAAATCTCGATTCCACGGGGCTCGGTCGGTAAAATCGTCGGACAACAAAGTACGACGCGTAGCGCGGAGTGCGCAGCAGAGAACGGTATCGGGCCCATGGTCACCATGTTATAATTATCGCGGCGCGTACACGGCCAGTAGCCGGCCCGAGGATCATCGCGAGCGTTGAATTATGTGAAAAGAAAGGCCGGCCATCAGGCGACAGAGAGATCGAATAGTCTTTGAATCCTGTCGTAACCAGGCGACGTACGTTCTCTCTCTCTTTCTCTCTTTCTCTCTCTCGCTGCTAATACCTTTAGGATCGTCACGAGCGTGCGTATCCGCGAGGCCTTGCTGCAATTGCCTTTATGACGGTTGCGCAATGGAAAAACGCGAGCCGCGTGTGAGAACGCTTCGCTTCCCCGCAAATGGGACACCGATGCCTGCGTTTTCGTTATTTATCGAGTCGCTCGCTCGCGTCACGCTGTTTTGCACGCGGTTTACTCGTTTCACCGGTCCTCCCCCCCCCCCTCCCCCTTCTATCTCACTCTATTCGCGCAAATTGTCGTCCCCTGTTCGCCTTTCCACGTCAGCAGAGAGTAAAAAAAGAAAAAAGAGAGGAGGATTCCGCGAGAACGTTCCCCGCGAACGAAGGTGAATTTTTACCGGTTCGTTCGACGAGAGAGCAAAGTGCAAGAGGGCCGCTTTTGTTCCCAGTCTGCAATTATTATTAGAATGGTACATTATAGATATATAAATTTTTATAAAATATATAAATTACTCATCATTGTGTGAATTTTTAGTTTAGAATTTTGGAATGGAATTGCAACGACTCAATGAATTTTCTTCCTGTTCCATAGCGATGACACTAGAGAATGACTATTTATTTTGACGTACGAATGACTATTTATTTCCACAAATAGTGGATGATAAAGGTCAATGAAATATTCCTAGCTTCTTTGAGCAACATCACGCGAAATATCGTTGCACGTGACAATTTCCACAAATATTGACGACACGTGAAAACTTCGTTGAAAAACGTCGTGCTAATATAAGAATAGTATCATTACGTACAACCGAATATTTTAATCTTACTCTCTCGTTCTAGAAGCAAAAAGAATTTCCAACGTGCTAATATAACAATAGTATCATCACGTACAACCGAATACTTTGATCTTACTCTCGTTCTAAAAGAACAAAAAGAATTTCTAACGTTTTGTGAACACGTTCGAGCGTGAAAATTAATTAATCAGGCAAGAATCGAGGAGAACGTTTTTCAAATTTCATCCATTCGCTTGACATACTTTGTCAGAGTACAAGTACCAGTTGGTCAAGAACGACTAGTATTAATTACACTCCGTAAAAACGTGCATAGATATCCACAATTTGCTCGCCACACTTCATCCCCCAACACGTGAAACCCACTTTCGTTCACCTGGACAAACACCTTCAAACACTTCCACTTCTCCCAAACGCAAATCGTCTTACTGCGCAGACCGATTCGATACTCGTGACACTGACAATCACCGATTCGACGTTTCAAAAGTCCACTGATATCACGTACAACGTACAAGCATTAGATAAGCCTGCTCTAACAAACCAGGCGCAACCTAAACAAAGAAGTTCAATCACCCTCTGTCAGATCAACATGTGGAAATGACGGATTCTCTTCGGAAATAGCCACCAAAATAAATAAAATAAGATAACGATAAAAAGAAAACGAAGGATAGAAATTTACAAAGAAACGTACGGAAGGAAGTAATTAAAATATTACGCAGCGTCTAGATTGGCTCGTTTGAACAACGATAACGCGAGAGATTCGATAACATTCCGCAGGAAAGCTATCGAGGAACGTTCACGTCCACTCGCTACGTACGCTCGAATGATTCATGGACCAGTGAAAACGCGATCGCCCGTGCGTGCGTGTTTGGTCATTATCACGAGTAAACATCTGTTTTGCTAATTTCATCGCTGACCAGACGACGGATTGTGATGCAACGCTCTGATCTGCGATCAGTGATAGCCAGACCCGCCGAATATTTACGCAAGCTCGCGATTTTATCGTGTATCGTTGAAAACGCGTAACTCGGAATATTATCAACGAAATTTTATCACTTGGTAATATATCATACAAATTTCCTCCGACTGATAAAATAACAATATGCAAGCAGTTAGTATGACATATTACGCGATATTGTCGTGTCGTCGCATCTTTTGAAATTCGTGGCGTAACGAACTCTCTCTGAATCGCGAGGTTCGTAGTAATTCAAGTGTCATACAAAAATTTCAGATATCTGTTAATTAAAAATCCGAAAGAGACGAGAATGAAAGGTTCGAATGTTACTCAGTACACAATCAGTTAAATCCAATTCTGACCACCAAGAGTCATCCCCAATTCTCGAAGCGAAACGCAACCAATTAAAACGTCGCCAATTAAAACCTAGTGTGAACTTTTAGCCCCCCCCCCCCCCCTCCAAGGCAGTCGAACGAACATGAAACCGCACGGCCTCGAATTACAGGCAAGTAACAGAATCAACCTCAGAACATCATCCCCGCGACCATTCGATCCTCTTCGAAACGGAGTGGAGCTGCATTCTTCCCCCGGATTCAGTTTTCGAATCGAGCGAATTTTCATCCACGAAACGTGATACAGAGAGATACGGAGTAGTTGATGGATGCGCAGCAGGTAGAAAATCGTATCGATTTCGAGAGTGTGATTCATGTGTGAGCTCGCGAGAGAGCTCGTGTCAGGGAAATGCAAATTACATAGAGACCGAGCCACGGACTTTTTTTTCCACGCCGGTGTAAATATGAACTCGTCCATCGACTCTGTCCTCGCGTCTGCATCATCGGTTATGCCGCGTTCTGATGCAACCGGTGTACCGGGTGTTCCAGGAAATTCGTGTCGAGGTCTCGCGCAATCGAAACGGATGAAGCAGACGTCAAGTTTTTTTTTTTTTTTTTGAGAAATATCGCTCGGGGATTGCAATGGTTTAAATTATACAACACTGTTTGACGCTAGTAATACTAATAATGATGATAATAATTGGACCACAAATTTATATCTATTTACTAAATTTAGCAAACTTATTATTATATTATAATATCAATAATAATAATAATTGAACTACAAATTTACATCTATTTACTAAATTTAGAGAGCAAACTTACTATTATATTATAATATTAATAATAATAATAATAATAATTGGACTACAAAATTTACATCTATTTACTAAATTTAGCAAATTTATTGTTATATTATAATATTAATAATAATAATTTATATAAAATAGTATTAATTGTAATAATAATAATAATAATTGAACTACAAAATTTATATCTATTTACTAAATTTAGCAAATTTATTATTATTACCAAGTCGTACAAATAAAAATTTATCGCGAATAGCAAATTTATTAAACAATAAACTTTAAACTTTTACTCTGCCTTCTTTTCAATTTAATACTATTCCGCCATTTAAGAAACCATTTTCGAATTATTAAGCAATAAAATTGGACTGGAAACTGCCAATTGTAAGTAAGATACGTACAGTTCAAACACGGTTCAAATCACAATCACTCGAAAGAAAATAATGGACATGATTGAATCAATGAATTAACGCGGACACGTCTAGAAAACCCATATTTCATTGTAAGTAATGTCTCGTTCAGGGAACCGGGCAATTAATCTACGGAAAGTAATGGGCCACGGTTTTTTTTTTTTTTTTTTTCTTTTTACGTAGTTCCTTTCTTTTTACACGTCGACCCACCGCTAATTACATTTTTCCAATTACTCTTCGCCCTTTGTAAACCCCGTTGTTTTCTTCTCCAACCCTTTTTCTCCAAGTGAAACACACGTTATCTTGTTTCGCGCGCATAACAAACGAGCTGCAGCCCTGCCGCTCGCGTTCTACGTGAATCATAATCGGGCTAATCGCGCTGGTTACCGTAGTGCCTTATCGTTGCGTCAGAAAAGTCGCTGATTTCATCGCTGCAATTGTAACTTCGCCGATATTACGACGAAACACGCCGCGCTCCGAGAGACCGGAGCCACTATATCATATCTATACGGAATATAGGGAATTATTATTGTATCCCGGGGTATCCTCTGTTGCTACGCTATCTACTGTTCCACGGGATTAATTGTATGATACTGGATTTAATCCCCCAGATGTGATTTCGACGAGGTGACGAATCGATTTATTTCGCGTTTGATTCGGTCTATTCTCGCAGGGCGTGATTGTCGAAATTCTT